CCAAACTTGTATAACTTTATTTAATTAACTTCAGTTTAATAATAATAATAATAATAAATTAGATTATATAGCGCTTTTCTAAATACTCAAAGACGCTTAGTTTAACCTTCAGGACTAGAGAAACTAAGCAAATGTATTCTCTACTAAACCTTATCTGATAACAAACATTATCGTGAATTTGATAAGAAACATTTAATGTCCAACAATGATCTTTTGTATGTCCTTTTTTATTATTTGGTACTAAAAGCATTATATATCAGAGTACCATACGCTTTGCTCAATGTTAGCTGACATATTGAGTCTGTAGATAATATCAATGCTTTCTTGTGGTCTCTTTGGGCAATGACACCCTTTATTCTTAATGTATTCTTAAAGTGTTTACTTCTCTTCTGAGTCTTTGTAACTTCATGGCTGTGGATGAAGATATTTAGTCTCTGTGATGTGAATTCTTCCCATGTGGCATAAATGTTGGCCCATGGTGTCCAGAGTTATCACTATAACTAAATGTCTTGCTGGAGTTATACGTGTGCTTTCAGCCACTATATAAGATCCCATAAGTGTTGTACTTTTCTTCAAGTTAAGGGAACTGAAGAGTTGATCTTGATTCCCCCTCACAAACAGATTCAGTTCATCAGTGTGTTAGACTAAGATAAAGTGCCTCTTTCCTGTTGGCTGCTACCAGGAAGGGGTGGGACTTGTTTTCCATAGCCAATCGGTAGTCGACATAACTGACACAGCCAATAAGAACAGAGTCCCAGTTTAGTTACTCTGACTGACACATTTTTAACCAATTACATTATACAAATAATCACGAGCTCATGTTCCACCCTCAACTCCACTCTCGTTTCACTTTAAATTATTTTTTGTGTCGCAGCAAGAAATTCATCGGGTGAGTTACCAGAAAACTAGATACACAAAAATGAACAAGTAGCCTAATGTTACCTGTATAGTTTAAAAGTTATCAGGTAACGTTTTATTAAGATTATATAAATTTTATTGTCAATTCTGAGTAAAAATACACCTGAGATGGATTAATCTTCAGATTCACACTCTGTGCTGCATTTATTATTCAGACAGGAAAATATTTGTGTGTGGTTTTCCGTAACCATAAAAATAAAGGACATAATGAAAAATCCATTATATGCGAGTTATTAAACACAACACTGCAACCTTATTCCAATGTACAGAGATAACCAACATAACTGATATGAACATGAGAGACTGTATTCTTTACTGACCTAACATCGCGATGGCAAAAAATACTGTAAATATCAGTTCTCATAAAAATAACTTCCTTCATGTATTTATATGAACATAAATACAGAAGATGAATAGATACTGGGCAGCACTATTGAAGTTACAGTCACACCTGCATGCTAATGTTTATTAAAGGTACACTTGAGGAGCGCCTCTTTACTAGTCCCTCTGAATACCTGAGAAATTAACATTTTATATCAGTACACCATTGCCACACATTACATACAGTTGTTGCTTCTCGCCTGTAATCATTTGCTGTACTTTGCATTTGCTCATACAATCGGAACTATCCTGGCTAATGAGTATAAGCTTTCATTTCAAATGTCCACTCCTATATGAAATGAAAAGAAAACCTACAAACTCTATGAACACAGACATGTTCTAACTGTCCAAACGATGGAGAGCTAAAGAACTTGAATCTTTTACAGAACTAAGGGACAGCTGACTGGCCAACAGCAATGCACAGTAGGCGCGACAGATAGACTAAGGCATATAAGAGTATATAAAAGAACAAGTAGAAATGCATGAAAGGATATGCAGTCTTCATAACAATCAGCGTGAATATTCAGCTATTTCTATAAGCTTAATGTAATTCATGCCCAGAACTAAGCAAGAACTAAGCAGAGACTGTGAGACTCTTCACTTTTTCCCACTTGTCACTCAAATCTTCATTCATATCAAATCACATAATTCTTTAAAGTTGTTCATTTTGCGATAATTGACCTTTGCTTGTGTAACATTGCAGCACTTACTGTCCTGGGTTTGTTTGTGTAAGCATTATGTTACAGTTCATACCAAAGTACAAAGTAAGTAAAAGCAAACACACAGCTTTGATTTAGTTCAGTCAGTTTTTATTTAGTTTCAGGATTTGCACAATATAATTGTTGTTCTCTTTATCGGATCCTCACCTTTATTTATTCTTTTGTTCAGTTCCCCATGTGGTCCTGCAGCTAAAGGGGCTGGTTCAGCACTTCCTGGGTATTTATAAGATTGATGATGTTATCACGGACATCATTGGGGCAAATCGACTGTAGTGTTTATCTTGAGTTATGTCGTCTTTGTTTTTTCATTTTTACCCCTGTATTTGAGTTATTAGTAGAATATAATTTAATGTTTAAAGTTAATTGGGTTGGGTTAATGAGCTAAGGTTCATTTTAGGGTTCATGTTGATTTCTTTGGTTTCAGAGAAAAGTGTACACCCACCCTTTGAGTTATGTTACACCAAGCTGCTCATTTTCTTGAGCAGATATATTTTATGCATCACTACATACAATATATCATTCTAAACACAGAGGGGTCTGGTGTATGTCCTTAACTTTATAAAGGATGAATGTGCACCTTTTTTGATCCAGTAGATGTCATCCTTGAGCACCAGCATGAAACCAAAATCAACTAATGTTTGGCCAACCACTCTCCCCTTGCGTTAGCACATAGTTATCAAACTGTCAGATTGTCAAAGTCCCTGCTCCTCTCCGCTCACATCACCGCTCCCTCTCGCTCTGCCCGACCCTGAGCAGGTTAGATGACAGAGCGCTGAGAAGGTGCTCTAACTATGCGAGGTGTTGCATGTAATGTGGTAAAATATAGAAATGTATGCTCATTTAGATATAATAGTAATGTGAATGGGCTTAGACAGGCTACATAAACTTAATTGAAAGGCTCAAATATATTTTTCGGCTCCAGATGGATATGTATTTTTTTGTTCACATCGCGATGACGATGCTGTAACAATATATCGTGCAGCCCTATAGTGAATTAAATGCAGAGAAATATAATGGTGATTGAGTCTGTAGTAAAGGCTTTCTTCTCAGAAAAACATATCACATTCAAAATTCCCTCTTAAAATATCACAGTGCAGCATATAAGTGCAATTAGCCTTCTTTCATATTTTAGGACAAAATAAGTTTCTATGTCTACCTGCATTCCAAAACTAGAAGAGATTAATGTCAATAAATAATGAAAGCAATGTTTGCATATATGTAAGGCAGACATAGTTAGTATTTGTAAGTTTCTCTTTCTCTTAAGTAACTCTCTTCATGATGGTTTGACATCCTAATATGTATAATAGGCCTATTTTTCATGTTTCATTCTGTTGACATATTTCACAACAGGAAGTTTTCCTGCACTCCTTCATAAAGTGATCATTTCACTCTCAGACTGTACGGCACTATTGTCTGAAATCTCTGAATAAAGTTGAACTTTTATTTGTCATCATAGTTTTAGCTTACCTTGTGCATTTTAATTTGATATTTTTAATCCTCCATCATTCAATATTTTGCTCTATTTCTGTTATTGGGCTATTTTCTTACCTTGTGCCGTTGGACCACCTAACTGTGTTCAAAATACATGAACTCCAGTATGTGTTCAAACTCATCTCTGTGTGTTCTCAAAGTGAATTATTAAAGAGGGAAAACACACAAACAAAAACTGATACAAAGTTATTTTGGGTAAGAAGCATAAAACAGGGTTTTTCCTGCATAGACAATTCTTTGGCGCCCCCCAAAGAGGTTTTACCCAGCGCCAAAGGAAAATCCAGAGCACCAAAAGAAAAAAAAGACGATGCAAATTGCAAATCAAATCCTCCCTGAATGTTAAAAGTATCAATACATCAAACGACTGTTGAACAAGCAGAACATAAACTTAAATACGACGTCTCTGACTTCTAGCAGTCATCTCCCCTCTCATCCGTTTACGCATGTGGCTCGCGCTGGATAGCCAGCTGATTGACTGTTCGTTTCTTTTGATTGGCTCCGTAGATTTCTACTTTATTTATGTGTAAAATGTCATGAAAGACTGTGCACACCCATGACAAAATGTACTTGTTTCAATCATAGATGATCTGCATCCCCTGAGGCGCTGTAACAGTATGGGATGGTTGCCACCTCACAGTGAGTGAAACTTCTATCCATTTGTATAAGAATATCTGTTTTGGTCACATCTGTAAAAACAGTAGGTAATCAAATCCCAAAATAAACCAAGAAAACTGGATCTGTTTAAAATGTTTTTCTCACAGTGTCTGAGTTGAGGGTTGTTCTGCTGGGGAACTCATGGTCTGAGAGTAGTTCAGTGGGGAACTTCATAATGAGAGAGACTGTGTTCAACACTGGAAAAGAAGCAGACCAATGTGAGCAAGTCAGGAGACAAATAAAGGAGAAAGACATAGTTCTTATCAACACTCCAGATCTGCTGCATCCCACCATCTCTGCAGACAAACTGACAGAACATGTGACAGACTGTGTGAGACTCTCTGATCCTGGACCTCATGTGTTCCTGTTGGTTCTCCAGCCTGATGACTTCACTGAGGAATATAAACAGAGATTCTGTAGAGTTCTTAAACGCTTCAGTGATCAGTCATTTGATCATTCACTGATACTGATATCAACACCCAGAGAGCAGGGCTCAAGTGGTGTTAAGATATATTTGCAAAATCAACCCTTAAAAGAGATGATCATAGAATGTAGATACAGATATTTGGCGGAGGCAAACCTTGAACTTCCAGAGCTGTTGACACGTTTCAGTCAAATTGTGAAAGAACACAATGGAGAGCATGTCAGCTGTGAAGTGTTCATGGATGCCCCTGATGATATACAAAGAATTCAACAAAAGGAAACAAGGCCCGGATTCATGAATTCTGTTATGTCTTATGGTAAGAGATCTGTTCTAATCAAAATGTTTAAACTCAAAATCATTACTGATCTCATGAGAATATGAAGCTGATAGTCAATGATGTCATCTTTTAACAGGTCTTCTTATCAAGGATAAGATGGTGACACCCCCTCCCTCAGGGGAAAGTAAGTAAACTTTCATAAATAGACACATTTTATTATTACTGACCAGTACAATATTGGCGCCACTGTGGTTGACCCTTATCCCCCCAAAAACATATAAATAAATATATTGTATCCAAAAATGTGAAACCGGAATCCAATAGAGACTTGACCATATTATCTGATAGCAGTACAAAGTTCAGCTCCCGCACTAAAAAACAACTTGGGCCCATGCCCATAATGCAAAAGGTGGTGAGCCATTTTGTACTGATTTACAATCAATCAATCTTTATTTGTATAGTGCCAATTCATAACAAATGCTGTCTTTAGACACAAAAATAGTAGATAGTAGATCTAGACCGTACTCTGTATATTATTTACAAAGACCCAACATTAATCTACCATGAGCACAGTAAAGTTACAGTGGCAGGGAAAAACTGCCTTTTAACAGGAAGGAATCTGGAGCATCACCAGACTCACCAAAAGAGTGAGTTGTATAATTAAAATAATGCCTATTTAAGCCATGAACAAGGTTCAAGGTTCAAGGTTGTCTTTATTATCCCTGCTAGAGGGCAATTTGTTTTGCAGTCAGCAGTAAAACACACACATACATACAGCCCGAAATGAGCAAACAACATAGAAAGGACAGTAAATAATAGATAAGAAACAGAGGCAACACAGTTAGTGGTTTAAAAAGGTCTTGGTACCGTAGATACCTTGGAGAATAAAATGTATTAAAAGCTTAAGTTTTGTTAAAGGGCGTGGCCATGGCTGGGGGGTTAAAATGTATGTAAAATTACAGAAAATCACTGTAAGTTTATATATGCAAGGTCCAGCACTGTAAAGCGCAGAAGTTAAATCAGTAATAAAGTGTATTTGTATGTATTTGTGTAAACTGCTTAGCAAAAGTTACGCTGTAATAAAGTAAAAGTTATGGACACATTAAATCAGGAAGCATACATGTAAATTATTGTATACTTCCTGTTTTAATGTGACGGTTTAACAGTTTGTAAACAGGTTGAGGAATATAAATATATATAATGATTATGTAGGTATGAACAGACACACACAGACAGACATTGATTTAATGGTTCATAGTTTTTTTTTCCTGTTACTGTCTGGATTAAGCTAATTAGAAGCTAACATGAAGATTATGAGTTTTCCTTTCATTAAACCATTGAAAGCTAAATATGGAAAACAGAATGTAAGCTTTAGTTTAACCATGTGGCATGACTTAATGTCTCTCTACACGTTACATTTTATTTTTCTATTACAGTCAGAATTCTGCTGCTGGGGATAAAGGACGACAAAACAACAAAACTTGGAGACTTTATCACCGGAAAAGAACAACACAGCTCAGGCTTCATATCAATGCCTTTTGCAGCCAAACAAGTGGTGGAGAGTGGAGAATGGAGAGGAAAGCCTCTAACAGTTGTGAAAACTCCAGATGTTTTCAGTGTTTCTGTGAAAAGGCTGAGAGAAGAGATGAAGAAGGCTGTGAGTCTCTGTCCTCCTGGACCAAATGTTGTGCTGCTGTTAGTGAAACCTTCTGATTTCACTGAAGAGAACAGACAAACACTGAAGTTCATCCTGAGTTTCTTCAATCAAGATGCTTTCAAACACTCAGTGGTCATCAGCACACATAAGGAGGATAAAACAGATGTCTCTTTTAGAAGTGTCATTAAAGACTGTGGAGAACGACACTGCAGTATGGCTGACAACAACCGTGATGTATTAATGCAAAAGATTAAGAAAACTGTTCATGAAAACAAAGGAACCTTTCTCACTGTCATTGAGGATTCAGTCGCCCCAAAGTCTGATCTTATGAAAACAGCTTTGAGCCTGGTTCTGTGTGGAAGGAGAGGAGCAGGGAAGACTTCAGCAGCTGAGGCCATTTTAGGTCAGACAGATCTTCAATCAGTCTCCAGCTCATCAGAGTGTGTTAAACATCAGGGTGAGGTGTGTGGACGTCGGGTTTCCCTGGTGGAGCTTCCTGCCCTGTATGGAAAACCTCAGGAGGAGGTGATGAAGGAATCATTCAGGTGTGTCTCTCTCAGTGATCCTGAGGGCGTCCATGCCTTCATCCTGGTTCTACCTGTGGGTCCACTCACTGATGAAGACAAAGGAGAGTTGGAGACCGTCAAGAACACATTTGGGAGTCGATTCAATGACATCACTGTGTTGCTGTTCACTGTTGAGTCAGATCCCTCAGATCCAACTGTTGTTAACTTTCTAAATGAAACCAAATCCATCCAGGAGCTTCTTCAGAGCTGTGGAGGAAGATCTTTGGTTCTAAACATCAGGGACAAGCAGCAGATCCCAGAGCTGCTGGACATGGTGGAAAAGATGCACGAAGATAAATCCAAATCATTCATCTTCACAACACAAACATTTGCACATGCCCAAATAGAAAAGATCGTAACTCTACAGGCTGAGCTGAAGAACCTGAAAACAAAAGACCCAATCATCTGTAAGTAATATTTATTTTAACTTGTAAACATAAATTATACTAATTCACTTATTTTTTTTATAAACAACCTATTGTTAATCATACCTTTAATTCTATATTGTTCAAAATAAATGTTCAGCATTGAAGGTAACTTTAGGCCCTCTTTTTTCACAGGTGGTGATGATAAGCTGAGTGAAGAGAGTCTCAGGATTGTGCTGATAGGGAAGACTGGCAATGGGAAGAGTTCTTCAGGAAACACCATTCTAGGAGGAAAGACATTTGAAGCCAAATCATCCCAAACATCAATCACAAAACGTTGTCAGAAAGCACAAAGTGATGTGAACGGTCGTCCGGTCACTGTGGTCGACACTCCTGGTCTGTTTGACACAACTTTGTCTCAAGAAGAGGTTCAAGAAGAGATGACTAAATGCATCAGTCTTCTGGCTCCAGGACCACATGTCTTCCTGTTGGTGTTACAAATCGGCAGATTTACACCAGAGGAGAAGGAGACATTACAACCCATCAAGGAAGGCTTTGGGAAGAATGCTGAAAAGTTCACCATCGTTCTTCTAACTAGAGGAGATTCATTAAAGCATGATAACACGTCCATTGAAGAATACTTTGAAGAGGACTTTGATGATTCCTTTAAGAAACTGCTTGCTGACTGTGGAGGAAGATACCATGTGTTTGATAACTACGAGGAACAAAACAGAACTCAAGTCAGTGAGCTGATAACCAAGATTGAAGAAATGGTGAGAACTAATGGAGGCAGCTGCTACACCAATGAGATGCTGCAAGAAGCTGAAGCCGCTATAAAGAAAGAAATGGAGAGACTCTTGAAGGAGAAAGAAGAAGAGATGAAGAGAGAGAGGGAGGAGCTTCAAAAGAAACACGAGGAAGAAATGAAAGAAAAGGAAAGAAGAATGGAAGAACAGAGGATAGAAATTGAAAAGGAGCGACAACTGAGAGAAAAACAACTCCAAGAAAAGCAGGAGAGGATCAACAAGGAGTGTGAGGAGAGAAAGAAAGAACAGCAAAAGAGAGAAGAAGAAAACAGGAAAAGAGAGCAAGAGGAAGAAATTAAGAAACAGGAATGGAAACAGAAACTCTCAGCTTTGGAGAAACAGATAAAATCAGAATCAGAATCAAAGGAAACCACAGACAAAAAGCTGGAGGAGACTAGAGAAGAGATGAGAAAGCAACAAGAGACTTGGGAGAAAGAAAGACGAGAATGGTGGACAAAACGGACACAAGAAGATGAACAGAGACAACAGGAGGAACGAGCAAAACTTAAAAAGCTCCAAGATGAATATGAAAAAGAAAGAGAGATTAATGAAAAGAAAAGAAAGGAAGAGGACAAAGACAGAAGAGAACAGGAGGAGAAGGAGAGAAGAGAATTAGAGGAAAACTACAAGAAACAAATGAAGGAAATGAAGAATAAGTATGAAGTGGAGGCCAGAAAACAAGCTGAAGAACTCAATGATTTCAGACAGAAATACATGAAGGACTTCAATGCACTGATAGAGAAACACATGGAGGAAATGTGTGAGTTGAAGCAAAGACAAGAAAGACAACTGCTCGATTCAAAAGAGAGACGTGACGAAGAGTACAATCTTTTACAAAACCTCTCAGAAAGCAAAGAAAAACATCTGAAAGAAGAAAGAGAGGAATTGAAGAAAAAGCACGAACAAGAAATAAAAGTCTTGAAAGATAAAAACAAATGGAGTTGTAACTTCCTCTAAAGGTTCCATCAACTCTTGATAATGACGTCAGCTGATTGAACACCGTCTGTTTTGTTTTGTGTTTTTGCTGGACCACATAGAAGTTTCTTCTAAATGACTTGTTGATAAACAACAAATCCCCCTGAAACATGCGCAACAGTGTCGAAGAAGGACCTGAAGAGACTTTCGATAAAATACATGTCTAAGTTCTCGCTAATGTTTCCCAAAAAACATTCTCGGACGTGATAAAATAAACACACAATACTTACAATAAAAAGCCCTAATAAAAAGGATAAATTTGCGGTGATGCAGATGAGATGAGATTCAACTTTATTGTCATTACACATATACAAGTATAGAGGAACGAAATGAGGTTTGGCATCTCACCAGAAGTGCAAATAAGCAGAAATTGCAAGAGTCTGTGCTATGTACAGAAATTACAAAATTTACAGATGTAGACTAAAAAACAAATTGAATTATTGGGTATATATGGCTGGATTAATGGGATGCTATACATATAAATAAGTGCTATAAATATAAGTATAAGTATATTCTTCAGATGCAGTATGCACATGAAGAGAGGGGGGGCGCAGTTCATTTACATTCAATTCAATCATATGGCTTATTTTCCATGTACAGTCTTATGAAGTTCCAGGGTCCTTCATCTCCACAATCAAACTCAGAATATGGGGTTATTCCATAAAGGGCATGATGGTAAAGACGACCCATTAAAGGATAAACGCTTCTGCAAGGATTTTACAACCTCACCTCACCACCTTGTCTATTTTAAAATTGGTTTTGGAGTGAAACCATAAAGCTGATAGAGACAGACTTGCTATGTTCAGATAGGATGTTTTCCTCGATCTGTTTTGTTTTTCTTTGTTCTATTTCTGATAATAAATATAATCTTTACAAAATAACACCTTTTCAGACGTCACCTTTATCATGGGGAAGAAATACTATTTTTTTTTAAATTGTCTTTTATTGTAAAATATGTTTTTTCGTTTCCTATAGTTGATTATACACATTCAAGTTATTTCATTTATTCAAAAAATGAACATCAAGGATTTTAAGGAAATATTTTGGTATTTTTTTCAAGTTTACTTATTTTTGTAGAAATGTTCTGAGGTAAAACTTGTTTTGTTTTTCTTTTTTCTGTCTGTCATAATTAAAAATATCTGAACAAAATAATATATTTTCAGTTGTTGCCTTTATCATGGGGAAATAATACTCTTACTATGTTATCTGACATTTAATAGACCTGAAGATATATGAATATCATCTAATCTACAGAGTGATTGATTATCCGCCGGATCAGCAGCTGCTACCTTTCATGATTTAGTTTTTAAAGTTGACTTTTAAATTGTACTTTTTATGTCCGGTTAAAATTTAACCAGTCAATAGTAGCCACGTTGTAAACAAGGCTCTTATAGAAACCTAAAGCTGTCATTATAGAGACACGACATTCACAAACATGATTTACATTTCTGAGTAAAGACTTTTTGCACACCAAGGGCCAGATTTACTAAAGGTTTGTGTAATGGATATAAGATTGTGCACTAAGTTAAATTAATAATACATGTTAAAACTAGTGTCTTTCTAAAATGTTGTATATCCTTAAAAATGCTAAAAAGCTAGTTATAATTTAATGTTAATTCATGCTGCTAAGGTTTAAGTTTAAAAGCATATCGGTAATTGATTGGTTTGATCTTAAGCTTATGTTATTGTTTTACACTTCCGGTTTTACGCCAGCAGGGGGAGCGTGTTGTCTGAGCGTCATTCATTACACCATTGAATGAAAGCCAGCAACAACGTGTTTGTTTGTTTCTTCTTTATTTCTCCCCTTACAGGTAAGAATACTGGTTAAAAGTGAATAAAACCAAGTATAAATGTGTTGTAAGTTTCCGGGAACAAGTTAGTGATATGTTTTCTGTATACAAAGTAATTTCAGTATGTTTATGAAGCAGTTTAAGCATGAATGTGTTTGCCGTGATGCGTGCATGCTAGCTTGAATCACACAGACAGAGCGCGATAGAGACACGTGTAGTGCGTCTACTGAGAGTGTGTTATTTAAGTTGTATCGGTCAGTTGAACAATTACAGTTACATGGTACAGTTTAAAGAAATATCACTCTGCAAGTGTGTATGTGTATAACTACTAAAGCAACTAAGAAAGAGTTAAATGTGTTTACATAAAACAAGCAGTAGATTATACAATATTGAGAAATACTAGCCTGTTATATGACAGATGTAAAGGTATTAAACAGTGCATGTATGTTCATCTAAGTGTATAATATTGTACAATGATAATATGATGTGTTATTGCATATTATTCATTACACCATTGAATGAAAGCCAGCAACAACGTGTTTGTTTCTTTCTTCTTTATTTCTCCCCTTACAGTACGCTGTACAGGGGTGTAACATTTGCGTGTCTTAAAACGTGTGCAAACTTGATACCACCACCAAAAAAAGTGCTATCTGATCTACTAACGGCGCGCAGTGAGGATTGCGTCTTTCATATGAGCAAAACAACAGGCATTGTCTATTTAGTACTTTTGCCTTAATGAATATGCAATATGGGGCGTTTCTGCCCTAACGTGCAAAATACTGGGAGGAGAAAATGCAAACAAGTTAAGTTAGTACACACATTGCGATTTATCAAGCCTGGCAAAAATTGCGGTGATTGTGACGGTGTCTGTATTTAACACCTTTGAAAAGAACGTGCTAACCCAGGAGACCAGTGTTACACACAACAGACTGCTGTTATTGAAGTTAGGAGGAGACATAGGCTCAATCCAAGAAGGCATATAGATCGCGTTATTCCCCAAGCATGTTAATACGTTTGGAATGACAGCAGGAAACGCCATGATTCAACTATATTGTTGCCTATTTTTAGCCAACAAAACTGAACATTCACAGCCTCTGCATTCTAAAGAATTTCAACATTGACATTTATTTCTTCCCATTTCCCTCATTTCGCCAACTTTATATTTTAAACTGGGGATTTCCTTTTTCTCTGGCTGTGCGTCTCTCCCCCAGCTCGTGTCCTCTGGTGCGCTCCTCTCCATAGTGCGCACGTCTCCTCCCTCTACAGCCCGCTGCTGCTACGCTTGGATGGGGAGACCTCACCACTGCTTGTACCCTGATCTTCGATACCTCTTACCTGAGTATTTATGTCTGATCAGACACAGCACTGACCACCTGTCTTGTGCGCAGCAATGTGCCGAGTGTCGGGCCTGAGCGAGGATCTCATGTTGTGTAAATCATGTTTGCACACTGACTCAAGATTCAAGATTTTTATTCGTCACATGCTCATACAGTGCAGTGAAATGTAAAGACTGTTCCGCAAGGCCATGCAATAAACACTCAGATTACTAATACACATAGAAATATAATGTAAAATTAAAAAATAAATATTTGAATATACAAAATATAGAATAATGTAAACATAAACAGTCCGTTACCTGGGTGGTGGGGATCACTCATGATCCTGTCATCCAGCCATGTTTCCATCAGGCAGATGATGTTGCAGTCCCTCATGTCCCGTTGGTATTTTACCCGACCCCTCAGATCATCCATCTTGTTATCCAGGGACTGGACGTTGGCAAGAAGGATGCTTGGCAGGGGTGGGCGGTGGGCCGGAGTTCTTAGCCTGTTTCAGACACCACCTTGTCTTCCTCTGTGCTTTTACCTCCTCTGGCCATTGTTCCCGTCCTGTGTTGTGTTACGCAGGAGTTTGACCGGCAACCACTGATCATCGTTGAAACTGCTGGAAACTGTGTTTGTGACCAGTCTCTTTATGTCCAAAAGCATACTGCGATCATAAGTTATCTTTGCTGAAAGAGCTGATTTAAAAAAGTTCACCAAAACAACATAAATAAAGAAAATAACACACAGTCTCAGCGGAGCAACCCGGATGGCGTCTGGACACGGCCGCGTCATCTTAGAAGTCACTCAGAAACGTTTCTGTCATTTTTTTTTCAGAACAGGTTTGATTTTCTGTGTGTTTCTGCCTCCATCTCTTTTTGTCTCAGTGTTCAGGATCAATTATGTTTTAATGTGTGGTTACAGTAGAAGGCAGCAGTCTGTCTAACTCGACTTCTGACATCCTGAAATACACCTGATCATACACAAGTGATCAGAATAACTCTGCAGCTCTTATTAATGAGGACACTCTCCTTGCTTTTGTCTTGTTTTCAGCAAAAGGATGAACCACATGTTTTTATTTTTTCCAACTTAAATGACCACAATATCATCTTCACTACCTGATGACTTCATTTTGTGTCATGCTGCAAATTTTTGCGATAAATAATGTGACACTTTTATTTTATCGGATTACTGATTTGACAAACGCATCCGACCAAATGGACTCAGTGTGCAAAGACCTTTTGTTACTTCCTCTTTCTGTGCAGCCTTTTCTGGTCATTACAATGAACATTAACGTGTAGAGACCTGCCTTCAATCAGTCTGTCAACATGTCTCCAAAGCAAGAACATGC